TCCACATGGACTCCTTGGTCACAATGTTGTGGTAGTAGACCCTCTGGTCTTCGGTCTTATACTCCTTCCAGTGACAGTTGGCCAACAGTTTCTCGGTCTCTGACTTCAGTTCTTCGGGTTTATCCCACGAGGACTGTTTGGTTTGGCTGTTGAAGTAATAGGTGCGACCGTCCGGTGACTTGAACTCAGCCCACGTGGCGGTGGCATTGGGTGTGGGGGAAGGGGTGGTGGGAATGGGGGCGGCGTTCGGGCCGATGGGCGGCGCGAATGGGAACGGCATGAGTGGTGCGCTGAACGGCATCGTCGGCAGCGGTGGCGCCGGTGTCTGACCCGAAGACATCATCATTGCCTGGTATGCGTTAAACTGATTCTGGTTTGACGGATGCATTCTTCGGTGGCAATCAAATGGTAATCACTTGTGGTATATGTTATGATAATTGCAATCAAATTGTCTTCAAATCAAACTCTTTCTGCCATTTGTTTGTATTCAATGCACTACTCGTCACAAAATACATAACAATTTTCCCTTCACTTTCACTTTATGTCACAGTTTTTGTGAATGCATTCACTTTTTTATTGATAAAACAAACATTTTAATGATCGCAGCGTTTGTTTGTTCCCATTGGAGAGGGAATGACAGATATAATGCCAGTATTGCAGTCATAAAGCAATGCATATGTCCGGGAATATAAGGAATATGAGGAATAATTGAAGAATCGAACGCTAATTAAATGGGCGAAAGTGTTGACGTAATCGCATTTTGAAGCATTGAAACGCCATATCATTAATGCATTGAATGTCCACTCAATCACTCAATCGCTTCAATACTAATCATTCAATTGAAGTCCAATTGAAACGCATTCCTAAGCATTGGTTTGCGTTTGCATTGCATTAGTATTGCATCGCAAGTGCTTTGAGTGGTAGTCGTGGACAACATGACCGCAATGGCAGCGATAGTGATGACTGAGTCGGACATTCAATATGTTTCTCATGCGATGGACAAAGAGCTGATCCAATCGCCAAAACCCAAGCGAAAGCGTCAACGACTGGACCACTTGTCTAACGAAGAAAAACTGATGAGAAGGTAATGCCATTCAGTGGTTGAGATGTCGGCTGATCCGGGAGACCAGTTGAGGGGGCGGGGGTGTAGTCACCATATGTGGTGCACTATGTCTTGGGGACAGTAGGGTCAGCACTGGGATGTGTTGAGTGGCAATGACTGATGTGTTTGTATGTATATCATAGGAAACTGAAGAACCGAATGGCAGCCCAAAGCGCTCGCGACCGCAAGAAGGTTAAGATGCATCACTTGGAGAGGGAGGCCATGATTCTGGTCAAACAGGTCTGTCATGACTCATGAGTGCCACTAATTGTCTCAATAATGACTTCATATGTGATGAACTGAATAGAGAAACGCATTACTCATACAAAACGAGAAACTCGTGAAAAGCAATGAATCGCTGGAACAGCAGAACAGAGAACTGAAGCGAAGACTCGGTCTCTTGGAGTCGAAGCCATCGATAAAAAGCGAAATAAACGACTCGATTGTCTGGAATGAAACCATTGAGTCCGCAGAACTCATTAGTGCTCCTCAGCCGCAGGAACAGGTCTCACATCCGGACAGTCAGTCGTGGAGACTGAGTGCACAGCCATTGATGACGCTATTCGTCTGTTGGCTGATCACAAAGAATCCGATGCTTTACTCGATGTCCTCCGAATCTATTCAGAAGAACTGCTCGATTCGGACTCAGATCCAGAAGACAGCGAATTGCAGACAATCGATCAGTTGGATGACCCCATCGAAGCTCACACACCATATGTGGGATCAGTTAAAGACTTGATGACTATTGACGACCATTTGTACTACAAGTCACAGCTCTCGACCGATTCAATGGACACCACTTCCGACTCGATTGATATGATTGACACAAATTATGGTAATAATGATTACATTCCGAACCCAATGAGCCCTCTCTCCTGTGGCAGTGATTCTGGCTATGAATCCCTCCCTTCGCCGCCATTCAAATTGGACCACAAAATGGTTGTCACATCGGATGACTCTTTAGACCACACTTTCACAGAACTCTTTCCCGATTTGATTTAATTTGCTTTTATTTAACTTAATATAAAAT